AGGATGAATAAATTCATGCCAAAGGAAAAATATATACCTCTGTAGTTATCCTTTTTGAGGAGTACAGCTTACTGGCATCTGAAAAAAAGTTTCTTGTGCTGGTGCTACGCCCTTTCATGAGGCACATGGGCTTTCATGAAGCTTGAGAGGATGAAGGGACCTCATATTTCTGACTTCCCTTTCTTCCCACTCCATCAATTCCCTTAATAGGAGTTCCATTCACTCCATCCAAACTGAAATCCTTTAATATGCCCTATATATATCACTTGCTATGTGATTTTTAGAACACAGGTTGTTATTACTTGCAGAATGGTCAATTTTTATTTTTTTTAAGAATACTGAAGTTGCCATCCTTGTAACACATTTTTTTATCTTAAAACTGGGCTGGTTTTATCAAGCACTTCTTTTATCATAGCTGGCACTGACAGTGCAAGGAAGTAAGAGACATGAGGAGTGAGCCAGGAGCACACATATCTGTTTGTGATCTCCAGCCCACCATGAATCCAGATATTCAAAGGTATAAATCAATGATCCGTTTAACCTGTTCCACTGATTTTTCTTAACTTTAAACAACAAATTCAATGTGTTTTATGTTGTACTTTACTGTGCTTAAAGTACTGAGTTCAGAGCATAGATTTGATCTCTTGATTTCAGTGAAGGCCAGAGGCTGTGGACCTCCCCCTGAAATTACCAATGGAAGTATTGCTGGTGGCTCTGAGGAACAGTATCAACATGGGGACAGAAAGCAGTATGAGTGTAACATGGAATTTAAATTGGTTGGATCAAAGGAAATAGAATGTGTTGATGGACAGTGGTCACCTCCTCCCTCTTGCATTGGTAAACTACTTAACACTACTTATGAGAAGTCTGTAATTCACTGTAAGCTAATACATCACAGATATTGTCACAATTAACATTACATATTTGCAGATATGATATGTTATGTTCAAAATCATGTTGTGAATGAAGAGTCAGGAAAAGCCATTACCTTTTCCTGTCGCTACCACTGCATGGTAGTGACAGGAACAATGACAGCCCAAAGCAGGAACTGCTGTTCTCATACAGAGGTGACAGCACTGCAGTCCTCTAAGGGACACTACAATGGATTTCAGTTCTTGTACTAATTCTGACTGAAAGTGTACATTACAAATGTGTAGGTGCATAATCAATTATAATTTTGACTGATGAGAATCAAGGATTCAGGTGACTTGGATTAATTGAAGGTTTCCTTACACTTTAGGGTTTGTGTATCAACAGTTTGGCAAAGTAATGTTAGCTGAAACTACTTGTGGGTCATGCTACACTGTTGGAAAAGGAGGGGAAAAGACAGAGAGGGATTTAGTAAACTGACTAAAAGATATACACATACTCCAGTTGTGTTCAAGTTTAGTTGTTACAATTAATGGGAGTAGGCTTGGCTCACCAAATGCAAATACAGTTATTTTTAAGTTCTTTCAGCTATTCATATGTAACTCCAATATTATTGTGGAATACTTCTGCTCTTTTCAACAGAAGACAAAATGCCCTGTGAATCACCTTCCTCTATTCCGAATGTTGCTCTATATCAGGCAGACCAGACCCAGTTTTCACATGGTGATCAAGTAACTTGTGGATGTAAACCAGGCTCTGGCAATTCGAAGCAAATGAAAATAAAATGTCTTAATGGAGAATGGAAGCCTTTACCTCTTTGTGCTGGTAATCTCTTTCCATACTATTTTCATAATATTTCAGATGCGAGTGTGAGATAGTTCTGTTCAAAATGTCAAGGATTTCAGCAATCAGTATGTAGCTGGACATATTACAGTTTCATGCATCAAAACTAAGTGGGTTTTATTTACTCCTCTTTTAAATGGCAGCATGTTCTTCATCCTGGAAAGACTCTGCACCTACAACTTTGTAAGCACTATGGGCAGGTCAAAGACACTTGCATAGTCGTTAAAATCAAGTAATAAAAGGAATTAATGTTAATAGCAACAGTGTGTTTAGGCTTATCCCATCCTCACCATTTCTATGTGCATCAGTCCTTTTCACAGAATCCCAGAATGGGTCAGGCTGGAGGGGACCACAGTGGGCCATCTGGTCCAACATCTCTGCTCAAGCACCCGCAAAGTAAAGTTTTTCCTCATGTTCACGTGGAAGTTCCCGTGCATCAGTTTCTGCCCATTGCCTCTTGTCCTCTTGTTTGGCACCACTGAGAAGAGCCTGGCTCCCTCCTCCTGATATCCTTCAGATATTGGTAGATCCTGGTAGATATTGATGAGGTCCCCTTCTCTTTTTGCTCATTTCACAGCCTTTTAGGGAATAAAACGTTGGTGAGGTTTTTTTATTATTATTATTTGCTGCACTCAGCAAAAGGGATCCTGTCAACATAAAAAAATTGCTTGGGGACTGAGAACAGTCTCTGCTTTAGGTAGCTGGAAAAAAAAGTCTTTGTTTCTGTAATCTAGGAGTCTTAGGCATCACTTCAAATTACAGTAAATAAAACCCCACTTTCACATGGATATGCCTTAAGAAATTGATGATATCTTCATCAGTACATATTATCTGAACTGAATCTATTTTTTGTTTAGCTCTTTTTGTTTATTTTTTTTCAGATCCATCTCCTCAGTGTGAACTTCCAGTGGGTGTTGAGTTTGTAAGCTCTGGTGGACATTCCATGTCAAAAAGGAGGACTGGGTTTTATAAAGTTATACGTTACAGATGTACATCAGCTGACAAAAATATTAAACAGGCAACTTGTGTGTCTGGAAATTGGACACCAGAGATTGAATGTCCAGGTATGTTTTTAGATTTGCATACCATTTCTTCTTTTTATGTAGGAATGATAAATGATTGTTATTAAAGCTTCTTAGTGTTGCTGTATAGTCTGAAATAAAAATGCTTACATGCTTATGTATATGTTGAAGGGTAGTCACGGCCATCATTTGAGCAATTAACCAGGTTTAGAGAAGCACTACTTCAGTGAGGCAGACAATGATCTGTAGTCTGACAATTGGAACAGTTGTCACTGTCACTTCTGATGTGAGAAAAGATGCAATGATAAATTTAAGCTCAGTTCTTCAAAAGGACTTTACCCTGATGCAAATGAGAGAGCACATAGCTCAAGTTCCAGTCAAAGTTCCTTTATTTCCTGTAAACAATCAAAGCTTTTCAATTCCTGATTTTTCTTTTCTTCCATTTTTTCCAATTGCTTCCTAGTGAAATAATGAGAATAATGCTGAGTTGGCTGATTGAAAAGCACAGACCTAGAGGAGACTGCCCTCATATAACACACACCAGAGGCTGAATGCCTGCAGGACTGCCTTTATGTATGGCAGAGCGGGATATTGCCCATAGAAAGCAGGACTGTAAAACAATCATTGCCTCATGTCCTGCTTTGACTATACCAGATTTATGGGAAAAGATGCGTGGAAATGGGAGAAGCACACAGCACACAATCCTCTGGGGAACATTCCCTTTCAAGACCAGCTGTCTCTACCTTCTCAGTTTTCTGGAACAACAAGAGAAGCAACAAACCAAGCTCTGCAAGTCTCCTCAGATCTCCCTCCTAGATCTGCCTACTTCCCTCCTCTTTTCTTTCCTGTGGCAGGAAGAGCCTTTCTTTCCTTGAGTGGCAGATTTGAAGCCTATTTCTTTGCTTCCATTTGTGATTCTCATTTAACTCTATCAACTAAGTCTGAAGAAAAACAAAACAAGAATTCCAGAAGTTGGTTCAATTTTCCTAAAATAGTTCACCATAGAGAGAGGAACAGGGCTAACACATCAGAGTGTGCAGATGTGTGAAGGGGAAAGAAGCTCCAGCTTAGCTTGGTGTGGGCAACTGTGACAGTCTTTTCTATGACTCTGAAAGCATATGAGCATCTGAAGGCAGCTCTGGTGTTTCTGAAGCAGAACAAAATGGTCGTTTTATTAATTAAAGCTTGAGATAGCTACTGGAGAGTTATCCAACATCAATGTTTTCTTGGTTCTTTGTGTTTTAATCTGTGATGAACTACTATACTTTATGTTCAATTATAACATGAATATATGTCCTTAGCTGAGGAGGGTGTGTGCCCACCTCCACCTCAAGTGTCTGGTGCTCAACAGACAACAGCTGGAAGAAATTACAGGCATGGGAGTAAAATAGCTTTTTCATGTGCCAGTGGTTTCCGGCTCATCGGTGCAAAAGAAATAACCTGCATGGAAGGGAAATGGCAATCACCACCTCAGTGTGTGGGTCAGTACTGGGATATTTTTTTCTATTTATTTTATTATGACTAACCATGTTATGCATTTGCACTCATCATTAGCAGGAGGATGCTGTTATTTACATAAGATGATCGTGAACAGGTAACTGCAGAAAAGCAATAGAACATAAGTTGCTAAAGAAAGTGTAGTTAAGTAACTGCAGTCTTTTTATTTACACAGACTGATCTAAGATGGCATATAAAACTTTCAAGTAGTCTCTCAAGAGCTGTGTGCTTATTTGTTTGTGCAATATATTGCATATTGGAGTCTCAGTTTTGACTGGAAGCCCTAAATAGTATCCCATATTCTGTAAATCAGCATTATTTATTACTTAGTTGCAGTTGCAATATTAATTTTCTTGCATTATTGTTTATCTTTGTTTTCTGCATTTTTTAGAAAGACCATGTTTGCCACCACAGCCTGTAGAATGTGCTGATGCTCCCAGGCTGGAAAATCCAAACTTAAAAATTGAAATAGAAGGGAAATCAATTTATCTGACTGGTGCTAAATTTAAGTATGTTTCTCGTTCTGGATACATGTTAAATGGACCTACTGAGATAACTTGTTCTATGGGAGAATGGACTTTAGCTCCTGGATGCTTGGGTAATATAAAAAAATACCTTTTTATTTTTTTAAGTGTATCTAGCAATGAAATGGAAAGACTTTTAAACTGAAGCTTTATTTTGCTGTGGAATCTTATCTTCCATCATGGATGTCTTCAGAGCAATCCTGATTGGGTGCAAAACTGACTTTCTGAATGTAGCTTAGTTTTTAAATATTCCTTTAGATTCTTACAACCTTTGTTCAGTTCATATCTCTGCCAGCTGAGTCCTAGGCATATCCTTATAATCCAAGGACCTGTTTTCTAGAGAGTCCAGTAGTGACTAAGAGTTGCTTTGGAGTCTCAGTGGTGGAAATCACTTCAGTACAGTAAGGGACAGAAGCCTGTAGTCAAATTTTCTGGCATGTTTAGAAACAGGAACGAAATATTTTGGTGACTGAAATCTGTGCCAGTTTAGGGGAATAACTTATTTAATCTTCCCTATGCTATCTTTTATATAATTATTAGTTAACTGTAATTATAAAATCCACAGTCAGCAGATGACTATGCTGATGTTAGAAATAGCTCACTAAAGCATCTGTTTGGTGGAAAAAGTACACTCCTTTGATGTGTATCCCATTAGCACCAGCATCAGATTTCTGCTATCTTTTCAGAAATGTCATGTGGAAGTATTCCAAAAGTTGCCAATGCTCAGTTTGAAGGCAGAACCAAGGAAACTTATGAGCCTGGTGAAACAATTCGCTACGAGTGTGATGCAGGGTTCCTGATTGTTGGTTCCCCCGAAATTCTGTGCAGAGAAGGAAACTGGACAGCACCGCCCTTCTGTGAAGGTATAGGTTCTACTTCTAAGTAGTCCTTCTCAATATTTCATGTGAATTAATAGAATTTCAACTCAGGCATGCAGGTGAGTCAGGCCAAGAGAGCCAGCAGGTGACTTGCTTTGAATGGGCTGCTAAAACACCTATTTTTCTGACTCTGGAGAAACAAAAAGCAGTGTAGATTAGCAAAGCCATCATTTCCTCGTGGGCTGAAGCTAGTAGCTGAAACTTAGCTGTCTGCTGAAATCAAGCAGGCGGATGGTTATGGAGGAATGCATCTTGGCTGCAAAGGAGGAGAAAACTAGTAGGGTAATGTATCTTATTTTCACATCACTAAAAATGTCAGTTGCTGACAGTTACCTTCAAATAGTAAATAAATCTCCTCACTCTCCAGCCCATTGGTACACAATGCCTTACAGCACCAGTCTGCATAATTGGCTGATCTCTGTGACTTCTTTTCTCTTTTTAGTCACTTTAGGCAAAAATAATATTGCATGGTGAAGCATTGCAGAATAAAGACCAAATTATCTTCTTTTTCTACCTGTAGAAAATGATCTGCATTACAAAAACCATTTTTGCTCATCAAGAGCTTTGGAACGCAATGTTCTGTGGTTCTTATATTGCTGTACTGCAGTCTTTACATGCACCTCTCTTTTCAGATGTTAGCTGTGGACCTGTACCTGAAATCCCCAATGGTCATGTTGCAGGCACTCAACAGGAGAGGTATCTGCCCAGTGCCAGAGTGCATTATCAATGTGAAAGCAATTTTCAAATGATAGGTGGAAATTTTGTCACTTGTTTAAATGGTGAATGGTCACAAGCACCAGTGTGCAAAGGTAGGAACCTGTGCTTTCACCTTGCCTGTTAGCATAGAGGGGACTGTTTCTCTACCTAAACACACTGAAGACTTCACCTTTTCTACTTTTGTTTTCTTTGGGTACCTCAACTTTGTAGTTTCTGTTGCTTGCTTGCACAGCACTTTAATTTAGCTCGATGCTTCTAGAAATACTGGGAATATTTCCATCAACAGCAAAAACATCTTCAAGCAGCAGGGCCAAAAATGTGCTGTACTGTCATTCTCCTGCATGTTATTGGTATTGCTCCAGTGTCCACCATTTCAACAACCTTCAGTGGAAAGACACGTAAGGGCTCCTGTCTTCTGTTCAAAGCTGTCAGGAAGTATCTGAATGGAAGCAGCAATAGGGGAGAGAAGAAACTCCAGGGCTCCCCTCTGACCAATGCAGATCCCAGCAGAGACCCAGATCTAAACCATGTAAGGTCTGCCAGGGCCATAGAACTGGAAAGATTGTTCCTGTGACAAGGAATGGCGATGAGCTGTGCTCCTGTGCCCTGCCAAAATCTGTGGCTGCAGGGTGAACAAGTGCTACTTGGCTTTCACACAGCTCCTTGGAGCTGGTTGCATTCCCCCATCCCTGAACAGCACAGGCTGACAAGCTCCTCCAGCGCTGCCAGTGCTCCAGAGCTCTGCACTTCAGCACAGTGTCAGTTTGGCTGTTACCTCTGTGGTTTCCAGGAATGCCGGGGCTCCCTAGGGAGGGACATGGGCATGCGGGAAGGCTGCACTGTCTTCTGTGACATTAAGTGTAGCTACAGAAACATTGGCTTTTTCTAGAAACTCTTATTGACCCTGCCCATCTCCTGAGAGTCCCAGATCATTTTCTGCTGCCACTGTCACACCTCATTGCTTTCTCCATGGTGTGACCCACCTGAGACAGAAAATCTGTACAGAAATTGTAACCAGATTGATTCCTTTAACTTTTGGTTGTTTAGATGAACATCTCAACAACTGCAAAGGTGACTGTAGTCGTGTCTCTTTTCAGATGTGACATGTGAACCTCCTCCAGAAATTGCTGGTGGTAGGATTAATATTAAAAAGACAAAGTATCTCCCTGGGGAGACTGCTAACTATGACTGCTGGCAAGGTTTTAAGATGACTGGGACTTCCACTGTAGTGTGCCAGAATGGGACCTGGACAGAGCTGCCGAAGTGCAAAGGTAATTTCTCTCTCTCTCTCTCTCTCTCTCTCTCTCTCTCTCTCTCTCTCTCTCTCTCTCCATACAGTCGCCTGTCAGAGATTCTGTAATGAGGCTGACTCAGAGGGATTTACTTTTCCAAATTTCAGTACCCTTATCATGCACAATTGCAATGTATATGGCACACTCAAGAAAAAGTAATTTTCCCAGGAATCTGTTCAGATGAGTTTACCAGCTGAGTGACCCAGGTGGCTTCACTCAAGAGGGCCAAATGCCACACTGTTCTGCAGGACAAGATGAAGTCCTGCAGACAGCTGCAAGCACTTCAGCTGTGGCCAAATGGGGTGAACTGGCAGTTGTGAGCCCGAGGGCTGGAGAAATGAGAAACTCTTGCTCTGTTTCACCTGCCAGGTATTTGATTTTCTCTCTGCTTTCCTCTGGTTCTCTTAGAGTAGTGCCAATATTCTGTGGGGTAGCTGGTCACATTTGTGACCAGACCTCCATGGCAGTTAAACTCTTGTGGTTTTTGTCTCTGATTGGGCAATTTCTTTCAGGAAAAGGTGGGAAATGTGGCCCACCTCCAGCTATTGAAAATGGAGATCTTCTTTCCTTCCCCATGCGAGAATATCAACAAGGTACAACTCTGGAATACAAATGCCCAAGCTTCTATGTCTTGAAAGGATCTCAGTATATCACTTGTACTGATGGGCAGTGGTCAAGCCCCCCTGTTTGCCTAGGTACGTGGAAGCATGTGCTGGGTGGCCAAAGGCTGTGTGACTGCTCCTCTCTTCTTTTTCTCAGACTCTAAGGGCAGAACTTGTGCAGCAGCGTTTGTGCTGGGGCTGTGATGCTGGCAGGGCAGAACAGCAGCGAGTCCTTCTTTTATCCCCAAAGAGTTTCTCTGAAAGTTAGCTCGTGTAGTCCTTTCTGCTGCCAGGAGGTCTGCAAGGAGAGGACTTTGGCTGAACCCCCCTCTGTGAGGGGATCTCCACCTCTGTGCAAAGCTCCTGAGGCCTCCCAAGCTGGGGATGCTGCTACAGGCAGCAGGCTGTGAACAAGGAGGAGTGATCTGAGTGTGTGGCAGTTCTGGGGACATCCAGGCGTGCATCTGTGACATGGTAATGAGAAAATAAATTTAGAGAAGTACAGAGCAGAAGGGAAGGATCTCAAAAAACACGAGGTCAAGTTCATTGGTGCCTGGTGTCTTCCCCACCTGTGCACCATTCTTGTCCTGTGTGACTGTCCTGAAAAGGCTTCTCCACAGCTCTGTGTGGCATCTCAGCCATGGTCTTTTTTCCCTTTTAGTCTGGCTGTGAATGTCTTTTCTGTGGCATGTAACAGAGGATGAGAGCAAATAGCTGGAAGGATTTTTTGATGCAAACAACTTCTGTAGGCTCTAGGGGCAAAACAGTTACCTGTGGTGTGCCTGTATGAAATGCTGACACTCTTCTCTTCAATTTTTCAAGTGGCCTGTACAGCATCAGAAGAAGATATGGACAGAAACAATATTGAGCTGAAATGGTCCAGAGAAACCAAGCTGTATTCCACATCGGGTGACTATATTGAATTTCGTTGTAAAGCAGGATATGTGAAAGAGCAAGAGCCTTCCCACTTCAAAGTCCAGTGTGTGGAGGGAGTGTTGGATTACCCACGATGCAGGCCGGGCAGTAAGTCATCTCCTCTTCAGCCACAGATTAGCTGCTGTGGTGTTGTATTTTTAGTGCTGAAAGGGGAGCAAAAAGCCTTTCCCTTTGCGGGGGAAGTGCCTGGGGAGGAGCCAGAGTGCAGAAGCCTGTTGTAAGCTACAGGCAGGGAGGGGCAGCAAGAAGCCATTGGGCAGCATTCCTGAGCTGGAAAGACTGCTGGGGAAAGGGCACAGTGGTTTCACAGCATCAGTTGTCCAGTGTGAGATCTACAGGCAAATAATGAAAGTCCTTTTTTGCAGGGAGCTGTACAGTGAGTACGGACCATATGGAAAGCAACAATATTCAACTACAGTCACGCCAATCAAGAACTTCCACCTATCCCTCTGGGGATTTTATTTTCTTTGAATGCAAATGGTGGCACAAACCAGTTTCAAGAGCTGAGAAATTTAGAGCACAGTGCCTGGATGGAGTGATTACATATCCTACCTGTCAACGTAAGTGCACAGTGCTGAGGACACAGGGTGGGAGTTGTAGGAGGCAGTTTTGATGGAATTGCCTGTCCACTGCTCTGAGGAGCCTCTGTGGTGCCTGAGGATTGGTATTCATGACTTTCCCCCTTTTTTGTCTTTACACAGAATCGTGGTTTGGATGAATGGAAATGGCATGAAGGAGGCCAGCTGCAGAAATAAGAGAGCCCTCAGCCAACCCAGTGATTTGAGCTCAATTTTTCCTGGTGTTTCCCATTTTGCTGTGCTCTGTTTGCAGCTTAGCCAATGTTCTGCCTTGGAATTTGTTATATTATTTTTATGATTGGATGATTGTGTTTGCATATTATCCACATTTTATCCATTCTTGTAAATGTATTTACATTTTGTCCATCCAAATGGCTGTGCTTGCATTTTATCCATTCTATACTGATCTCACTGTTATTTTTATTAACAATTGTGTCCTGAAATAGGCTGGCTTTGGTGGCATACTGAGACAAGAATTAAAGCTCATGAGTAATTTGATTCTCAGCACTTGTCTGTTCCTACTTTCTTCTCCATGTGCTTGCCTGGAAACTACTCTGGGGTCACAGCTGAGTGTCCTGAGTACCTGATCAGGAGGAGCAAGTAAGTGGAGCCCACAGCTCCATCTGCTCTTCACAAACAAGGACAAAGTGCTTGTGGAAAGCAGCAGCAGCCTTGCTGTGGTAACTGTGTACTAATGGAGTTCATGATTCAGAGGGGAGAGAGGAAAGTGAGTAGAGTACAAATCAGGTCCCCTAGAAGAGCATGATTTTGACTGTGGGAGTGACCGCCCACACCCACCCACCCACCCACAGGACCTTGTCGAGCGGCACTTGGCTGGGGGAGCCACCTCGCCCCCGGAGCTGCCTCCTTTTCTATCACCTGGGGCTTCCTCAGGGGCACTTTTTTGTAGGCCCCGAAATTGGAAAAAATGGGGTGTTTTACCTTGGGTAGCTTTAGGTGGCCTGTGCACAGCCCCCCGTGTTCCTGCTGGTGGCTCATCTGACACAGCCGGGTCTGTCTCTTGCTCACCTTTAGTCGGGCACACCTGGTCAGTGCCAGCTCTGGAATCCCGGTGCAGTGTAGGAAGCGTTCGGTCAATTTCTGCATTCGGTCAGTTGGGGGTTGTTGTACAGAACAGGTGGTGCAGGCCTTGTATGAAAACACAGGGAAGTTGGATTATTCACATGATTGAGTTTTGTGGGCAATACCTAAAAGTGGGAGATGCTCTAGAAAGTATTCTGTACATGACTGATGAAGCACATAATGCCAATATGATTTGATTGATAGTGAATTATCACAGACAGTGAATAATGTTTTTAGATCTGGCCTTAAAGATCTGCTTTTATCTAGACTGTCACACTAATCACCTCATGCCCCAATTGCAGTAAACATAAACATTACTACATTTTTTGCAGCCTATCTTGATTTGCTTTTGCAGATTACTGAAACAGGAGCCAGGCCTAAAGGAGTTATCTCCTCAATTTTAGGAGCACTGGTTAATATCATGTTCTGTTCTGCTCCCTGGACCAAAGACCTTATTATGGAAAGGAGTTGTATGCACATGGTAATAAATTAGGTAAACTAGACATTTGAATAAGATATAGAAGGCCCGAAGCCAGGATTTTGCAAGCTTGAAGAATTCAGGTCACCTAATTGAAGAGGTCAAATTGAGGAAGATGTCCATGGCGACCACCAGAGGGATGAAGGCTTGAGGAGAAGACCCCCACAGTAGAAGACTGCGCACATCAGGAAAGACCACCCAGAGACTAGCCTACTTATTAATATGATGTAACCACGTATCCAAAGTGTATAAAATGGCTTAGTTTTGCACTTTCAAGTCAAACAAGTTTGTCCAGCACAAGCTGGTTTGTTCCCAACGTTGAATGGACAAAAACCTTGCTGCTTAAAGATACAAAAGTCTCTGAGCAGTTCTTCATACCGAGGTTTTTCAGCATCATTAGATCTTCACCTAAACTCTTCAGTTGTAGCACTCCCTTCCTAGAATGAAGTCATACAGACTCTTAACATGGTGCAGTTTTTTAGATTCAGATTTTGCTGCATCAGGGGCGAAGTGATAAACAAGAATTTATTTCCTAAATGTGGTTTAAATACCACATATTTAATAAGGGGCACACATGGATTGAAGAGTAAACCTTCTATTTTCTGTTTAGTTGGATTTCTGTGTAGAAGGTAAAGCTAGTTAAAAGTTGGTGTGGCACATACAGTATCAGCTTAAGTATGCCAGCCTGGAGTGTATCACATTGTTATGTGCCCTGCTGAGAATCCAGCTCTGGGCTTCCTGCTGTGAGGCAAAGATTTCTGTAGGTCACCAACAGGTAGTCCAATCCAGGACTCGGATTATCACTGCTGTTGTTACAGTCAATGCATCTTCCCTTGTTCTTTAGCACAGAGCTCTTAAGCATATCTTCTGTGATTGCTGTTTCTTTACAGAGCTGCAATGTAGTGTCCCAGGTCCTGTAAAACTCTGGGATCAGTGGAGTATGATGCTTATCCTTTTTCACAGCTTGCTGCATTCTGCATTTACAATGTGCTTCTCAGAAAGGCTTGTTAGATGAAGCAAAACAGATGCACATGTGTGGCAAGAGTTCAAAGGTAACTTGGTCTTTGCTTTGGCTGATATGGGAAATAAATAAAATAGTGAATTATCTTACCAGTTTTACCATGCTGTGTTCTGGGGTCAGAGCTCTCTAAAAGTCTAATTAAAAAAAAAAGTCCAACATCTTTCTTCTTTAGAATATTTTTTATATACTGCCCATTTTTTTCTTTCATTCTCAGCTGCTTCTCCACTTGAATAGGCTATCTCTTGTAAGAAAGCATTGTATCCTCTCTCTGCCTGGGTGTTTTTTAACCTTGCCAAAATTCGAGGTGGGGTGTAGCCTGTATATTATAAAGCTTTGCTATAAAAGCAAAGTAGTTAGGCTACTGTAGTCCTTTTCTGAAATCTATGAATCACAGATCATTTAGGAAATTAATGGTGTTTCTACTGTATCTTCTAGGAACCTCATTAAATTTTCCACCTGAATTGATTAATTTAACATGTGTTTTCATACTTCAGAAACAGTAACAGTCTGAACTAGCCCAAAGTGAGAACAAAGTTTTAAGGTCACTGTAAAGCTGCAAAGGTAGGGCAGAAGGAGAAATGGGAGGGATTTCACATTTGATAATTCATCTGAAAGCATTGTAAGGTGCAGCACAGGCACACATTAAGAAACCACATCTTCTACAGGAGATATGCGGGAGAGGTAGACTGTGTGTATAACCACGGGTGGGTGGTGTATGGATCATTAGAACTTTGGGAGATTAGTGAAGAAAGATCCTTTAGAAATTTGTTCGGAGCTTATGAGCATTTTGTCTATTAACAGTGCCTTGTCTGTTGCATTGCTGATATGGAACCTGAATGTATATCCCACTGATTGCCAGTTAATTATGTTCTATTAATAAATCAATAAGCCGGTTTGATTTTGATTTAGTTTAAACTAAGTAAACTGTGCAGTTTTCCCCTCTCACACCTTTATGTTGTGATTGTAGATATTACATGATGTGAAATGCCATTATGAGTTATAGAAGTTGTGTGACAGTGGGAGAAAAGGCAAATGTTGATGATGAAAAGATAATCTCACTGTTAATACAGTGGGACAGCACATTCTCATGAAGATTTTTGGGCAAGACAGTGACTGGTTCTAGAATTCTATGGGCTCTAATGTTATCATTAAACTCAAGTGTAACAGGAAGAATGCTGTTAGGACATGCTGAAATTATACTGGTCAGAGATGCCATTTCAGCAGTGGCTAACTAAGCTTCTATTACTAGTCATCATTAGTTCCCTATGGAATACTCTGACTTCCTCAGATCTGTCTTCCTAACAAAACATGGCTTCCAAACACTGATCTCCAAGTTATTCAGGTTTGAACAAACACTCTGAATGTTGATGTTAAGCCTCCACATTGAGCAAGAAATGAACAAAAACTTGAATAACTTATTCTGACCTTATACTGATTCTACTTTGTGCAGGAGTATTGGACAAGATAACTTCCTGAGGTCCATTCCCACCTGTACTTTCCTATGCTCCTATATCTTGACGTGCACTTTTTCTCGTGGTGATATTTTCTCTGGGGGTGATATTTTGGCTGTCTGGCTGCATCCACAGCAATATGTGAGTGTGGTCACACCAGTTCTCAAAGCGATAGCTCTGCTTCCTTAGATAAAATCCAGCTGTCTTTGGCTGCATAACTACTTTTCTGCCTTTTTTTATGAGTAGGAAGTAAGGGTACTCTAGAGATGGCTTTTTTCTGCCTGCCTTAGAGGTCCTGAGGCACGGTTTGCCTATGCACTCTGTTTTGTTAGAGGCTGAAGATGACTAAACAAAGTCAGACATGATTAAAGATGTTAGTTTTAAATTGATAGCCCATGGAAGAGGTAAGGAAGGAAAGCAAGTTTAAGTTCCTGATTTTATTTCCATTTAGTTAGGGTAAGTTTAATCAATGGTTTAAGAAGATCACAAACACAAGACCAGAAGGGACTGAGTCTGGTCCCTTGATTTGTGATTGAAGATGATTTCTTTGTACAGGCCTACATTACATCCATACAAACATTGCTTCACTAGGTTAGGTGAGTCTTCTAATTTTTAGCTTAAATTTATTCATAGGAGTTCTGGTTTTGCATGCTGATGCTCAAAGTGTTTTAGCATTGCCTGTATTTGTAGACAGCAGTCAGGAAAGTTAAAGTACCATTTCAATTCCAGTTGTGGTTGAGCTGTAGCTGAAGTTCTCTTTGACTGTGTTTCAAGCCCATAATTATTTGGCAAGTGGTTTAATGACCCAAAAGCAGTTTGACAAGACCTGAAGCAGTTAGAGCTTCATGACATCAGAGGATACAACATTTAAAATTGCAGAAATTTTAGAACCCATGCCTGCAACATGGCTTTTTACAGCTAACTGGTTTGAGCCACTGTGTCTGGGTTGAAATCCAAGCCTTTTTATGCTGATTCAATGTTTTTCCAGCTCTCTGAGCTTCCCATATGAGTTAAGGAATTGGAAAGCAGCAGTGTCACTGTGCTGCTGTGACAGGGAAGGTTAAACCATCCTAAGTTCCTCACCAGTGCAGGCTGCTGCAAGATTTTGCACAGGTACAGAAGCATATGAATACCTATGGTAATGTGGTAAGATTGGTGCAGAGGGACAAGTGGGACTGTCCTGGTGCTGTCTGAGCACATCTGTCTGCAGTAGCAGCACAGGCTTCAGTGCCATGGAGCAAAAGGAACTATAGATTTGGGCAGTGAATTTCTGTGAGGAGCTGTTTTCTTGGAGCTCGACTTTGACAGGTGCAAAAAATATCTTTTCAGTGGTCAGGTATTCACCAGTAACTGCAAAATGGATGCAGATTGATCATCACAGGGTCATGGAGCAGGGTGAGAGATCATTTTCCATATATGAGTCATTTGTCTAGGAAAGGGGAAGGAAGAGATATTATGCTGTCTGAAGAGTTCTTGTGGGTGAAACAGCTGAATGCCAGTTTTCAGCAAGACCAAGTTCTTAGAAACACAGCCCAAGTTAAAAAATTAATTCCAGCCGCATTTTAAGAAGACAAGAAGTTTTAACTGCTTTAAATGCTTTGGAATTCAGGTTTGATTTGAGATCTACTCTGTAGACACACTACTTTTATCCTAGAGCAGTACACCAACTAAGCCAGTAATTTTAAGGATATGTTGTGTGTTTTTTTGGGAACATATAACAGACAGATCTGTGTATACTCCATGCCAGTCAGACATCACCACTGTGGGGTACCTGGTCTGCAACTGTTTTATGTCCATCTCATATGGGCCCTTTTGTTCTGTTACATATTTTTCCCTGAATTCTCAGTCTCAAATAATTCTCTTCATATGATCTACATTTCCAATGGAGTGCACTTATAAAGCCAAGACATATCATGAAACTATTAATAACACTGTTGCTTCTTTTTGCATAATCTTTATATTTCTCTTTGGAAAGTTCATTCTCTATCTTGCAATTTATTCACATCTTCTCCATCTTATTTCTCATGTGAAACTGAAACAAGTGCTTCAGCTTCACGTACGTTTCTTTAATCAAGAATTTGATCAAGTATATTTCCTTTGCTCTGGGCAGTTGGTTATTTTATGTAAGAAAGAATGAGTGACAGTAAGGCACTTTATATTTTTGTCTGCCTTTTATTTTGATTGTTTTTAACATAGATCTTGAATTATATGTGTAGAGAAGTTCATTTTTACACACACAACATACAAAGAACCGCAAAGTAATTTATTTGTTCAACTGCTTTTAGATACCAAAAAATAACCTTATATGAGTATGTAGGGGATAAATCAGAAGGAAAAAAAGAGAAAAAGAAAAAAGCATGTTGAAAAAACAAGGAGATTGCAGGAAAGGAATGTGTCAATCTAAATTGCCAGGCTTTTATTTGTTTATTCCTTTAGCAAGGTTTGGGGGGGGGGGGGAAGAAATACTTGTGTGTTGCAAGAGGTTTCGTGGAAATGACTGCTGAAATCAGAGTATAAATGGTTTGTAAGATCAGTCTCTGGAGCAGTTAGTGAGTAAAACAGGAGTGGAAATAACACAAACTACTCCAAAACAGTAGGGTCCAATACTGAATGTGTTTGGATGAGTTTCTGAATCTCTAGAATGTTGTTCCTGGGCTATGCAGCTCTGCTCTTATGTTGGACGTGTTGTACTGCACAAAGAGGTAAACTTTAATATAGAAAAAAAATCAGAACTCTTTCTTAAAGTGTATGTGAAGATGGTATTTAAAACAATATGTAGAGGCATTGTAGCCTTTCTAATGAACTTCTGACAACAGTGACTGAGATTTCTTCTGGCAGTATTTAACACCTTTAGTATTTCATATCTTATCATAGGTATTACTTCACCTATTGATTTGGATAACAACTGCTGTTATTAATCTGATGCTCAAATTTTAAACATTCTTATCACTATAAACTAGAGCCAGATGACTAATTTTTTTTTACTTATGTTTGTTAATTATTCTAACTTCTACAACCAGTAAACATTTAGTAGAATAAGATAGAAAATAATCTATAAATGTGCATTTCTTTCTGTCTGGAATAATCTGTGAGATAGGGTGTTTTTAACCTATGAAATGAGATAGATGTATACAAGTATGCTTTCGTACATGTTTAAATAGGTAGCTAATATACTGTGTATCTTTTCACAAGTCTCTGATGCTTTTTGTTTCTCTACCGAAATTATTTTTCTTTTTTTGTGTTTATATTGTTTAATCTATCCTCAGTAATTTCATTTTTTTTTTGCTTTGCACAGGCTGTTGAGGAAAGGGTGCTGTGTGGTTTTGAGCTACTGTGTCTTTGCTTGGTTCAAATTGGTTCTAATTTTCAGTGAAAACTATGAAGACCTTATTAATCAAAATAATCCAATCAATTTTACTTTTAAAAATTGAAAAAAATCAGGAAATTAAAGGAATAGCTTACCTTAATTAAATATTCTTAGAAAAAATACTGCCTCCAAGCAACTAATAAAGTCTAATTTGTTTGCAAAGAAGTCCAGAAAAGTCCTGGAACTTAAACTAAAAATTTGCCTTAATTTGCACTATGTTTTCACAGTGCTTTATTTAGGTCAGGGAGATTGCAAAGGAATGTGAATGTAGCAAAATTTGATTTATCCAGGACAATTATTACCATGGGTCATGCAGGATTCTTAGTTCCAGCTCCATATTGGAAGTCTGTGTGAGTTGTTCCAAGAGCTGAATTTTTGCACAAGGACGGAAAAACACTTCTACTTGGATTTGTAGCTTGTGCTTGACTTTGTGGAAGTTGCTACCAGCACAATGATGGTAAGAAAGCAGCTTGATCTATTTGTAACTGAGGTCAAGTCACATGCAAATCCTGAGTGAATTATTCCAGATCTCCTTGTCTCTCGCTGAAGGATTTGAAGGTATGCATTTAATGTATGCTTTCAAATCTAGAAATAAAACCCTTCCAGTGTTGGTGAGTACATATGGTGAGTGCATGATGTAATTCATATAGTTTTGAAGTACATCCTGTCAGTAAATTTCTTCATCTCAAGCTACTGAGAAACTGCATTTAAAAATATAATAATTAACTGTAGTAGTAAATAAATAAATAAATCAATATAATCTGAGACTCGATGGTAATGCATACCATCAATATCAGGGCAGGAGTGGGAAAGAACAGAGAGAGTTGTTATAAAACACAGATGGAAGCATTTCTTAGTAATGATGAAGAAACTAAGATCATCTTTCATGCTTTTTTTTTTTATGTAAACACAGAGGAGCTGAGGCCCCATTCTGCACAACAGAAATATAAATATAAAAATATATATAAAAATATAAATATATATAAAAATCACTTTCCACATTTTGATGTGGAAGAATGAGCGTTTTTCCTGCTCACTTTGTGTCACAAATCCAAGCTACCTAGTCTGTGGTTGGGATCTGTGCAGTGTAATTCAGGAAGCTGTAACTCTGCATCCCTCACATGAAAAAGGATTCTAGTTATTTTTCCTGTAGTCCTGTTTTCAAGAAGCACCTGGACAACCTGTAGGAAAGCTTCAGTGAGAGTACTGCTGCTTTCTCAAACCTTTGGCCTTACAGCTAACTGGAGAGAGGACTTCTGTGCCAGGTCTCTGCTGCGTAATGAATGTACTCACCAAGGACTTTCCTTCCCTGCTGGAGAATTCTTCTCCCATTTATTTTCTATACAGAGATTTCATTTCTTTTCCAAGGCTTCATTTCCCAGGGGTTGTTTTATTTATTCTTGATGAATTCTCACCTTTCATGTTCAGATGGAAACCAGACTTCATTGCGTCTAATTGGCTAGACTGTTCAGGCTCTGTTACTCTGGGTAAAGCTTCAGCCTTCCAAATGAGTACGTTTCAGTCACCCAGGCACGGAAAATTAGTCACTGAAATTAGTTCAATAATTATAAACAACTAAAAAAATTGTTTCTTAACAACATCATTTAGTCTTTCATTAACAGCTTCCCAACATTTGTTTCTTTCTGCTTTAGTCTGGCTTTTCTCATTCTCAAGCTGTTGAGGAATTCCTTCATTAAATTGATTCAGGCTCATTTGTTGTAATTCGTAATCTCATAGATAAGAGAAAAGAAGTTTTGGAATATCAAGTGATCTGAGCCTGGAGAGAAAGTTTAGGCAATGTAAAGGTGAGAGGAGAGTTGACAGAATTTGATTGCAATGGAATTGGGGGAAATGACAGAGCTATAAGCACTGCCAAAGACACCAGAAGCACAGTGCGATTGTTCCCACACTCCTGAGGGGTGTGCCAGGGTGGGCAGTCCTGGTTCTGTCTGTTTCTGAAAACACCCAGATGATGAGGCTGAATCTGAATTAATTGTGTGCTGAGCTTTTTATCATGCATGTGTTGACATTGTTGCTCTTAAATTCTATTTCAAGCAAAATCGTGTGACTACCCAGTTATAGAAAACGGCAGGTTAAAATATGACATCCGCTCTCACTTTCCGAAGAGAGTTGGTCAGATTGTTGACTACTACTGTTTCCAAGATTATTTACCCCTCAACGGAAATACCTGGGGTCGAAGTACGTGTTCTATAAGGGGCTGGTCTCCAGCGCCAAAATGCCTGAGTAAGTGCATTTCCAACATATGCTCAATTCTGTTATAATTATCAGAGGTCTGTGCAACAGAAATTGTTCTGATGGAACACAAGACAAAACAGTTTCTTAGAGTCGGACTGCTTTAGCTGACCCCTGGAACTGCATCCAGACTGTCATCCTCTCTGCAGAGCTGGGGATGCTCTGAAATGAGTAAGGCTGAAATGATGCTTTTGGATTTGGGAGATTTTTTACTCTTGAAACTATTCATGAGATTAAGAAATATATGGGAAATCTTCTCTGGCTTCTGGGTAGCATGCAAGCATATACTTTCCTCTGGACACACAGCTGCACATACAAACAGAGAGTTTCTACTCTTTGTCAATATATTCTCCCTTCCATGGCTTGGGCACTTTGTCTAGAGGTTCCTCTCTGAGAACCATTGCCTGGTCCCTTTGGAAAGCTTTTGGAGCTGAAAAGATGTCACACTCTTGGAATAAGCTGAAAGTGATTGTGGTATCAGCAAAAGAACCAGATACACTCCTTAGATTTAAAATGAATTAGACTTACATTTAAAACAGCAAGGTGAGATGTCCTCTCAGACATCTTCAGTCACAGCAAAGTTCCTGCCTACTGGTAGGACTGGAAAGCGGATTACAAAAGATTGGTAATTTCCTTGATGCCCTCAGTGGAGTGGTGCTCAGTGCAGGAAAGGAATGGAGCCCTGCCTGGAGGAAAGGACCAGTTACTCAAATAACACACTGTAACATTCCTTCAGCCCATGTCTGGGCTCTTGGGGTGCAGGAGGCCATAGAGCCAGTGTGCCAAGCTGTTGCTAAAATCTCTAGACCTGCTTTGAGAGGCTGATACACTTCCACAGAGATGATAAAATCTCCAGGAAGCAAATGCTGAAATTCACTCTGTGCAGACACCAACAGTTTAGAGACAAAGCAGACCAAACTAGAGCTGGTGCACATGAACAGTAGGTAAGAGATTGTGGTTACTAGACCAGCTCTTTTTGCTTTATGTAGTGACTTCCCCTTCTGTTCACGTGATTCATTAATCTCAGGGCAGTGAAATAAAGCAAGGTTTCATTCAGGTTTGCACACAAATGTCTTTTTGGGGAGGAAGGCTACAGAAATGTGTTTGGAGGCCTGTTTCTTAGCAACTGTCTTCCTAAGAATTATTTTAACTCAGTTCTTGCTGTAGAGATTACTGTTGTTAAATGTACTTACCTTTCTTCTTTAGAAAAATGTACTTCCTTTCTTCTTTAGAAAAATGTTATACCAGGCAGCTGATAAATGGTTATTTCCCAAGACACCAGAGGGATTTTTACAAAGAAGGTGAAACAGCTACATATGCCTGCAACAATTATTACCGTGCCGAGCATAAAGTCGTCACGTGCAGAAGGAATGGCTGGTCACCTCATCCCAGATGTATCCCTGAAAGTGAGTGTACTTGTATTTTGTTGAGGTTTCTGTCTAAAAGCAGTAAACACATCCTAGTGTCTTCTTGGTGACCTATCTTTTTGGATCTCTTTAGCATTAAGTAAATGGTAATCACTGACCTGTTCAGTGATTCTTACATGAGAAAAAGTACATTTGCCCAAATTTACTCCCAATTTATGAAGAAATGCCTGTGAAGCAAGGCAGTCAGCCAAGAACTTTCTTTAAATATGACCAAAATAGAGACAAATAGGATTCTTTATTTGGAACTTCTTTCCTCTCCTGACCAGGGGTGTAGGCCTGTTTTTTTAATAACTGTCTTCCTAAGAATTTTTTACCTCAGTTCTTGCCGTAGAAATTACTGTTCCTAAATGTGCTTCCTTTCTTCTTTAAAAAGATGTACTTCCTTTCTTCTTTAGAAAAATGTACTTCATTCTTCTTTAGAATAATGGACTTCCTTTCTTCTTTAGACATATGTTATGCCAGCCAGCTGATAAATGGTTATTTCCCAAGAGGCAGGACGGGTCTTTACAAACAAGGTGAAAGAACTACATACACCTGCAACCCTGATTACCATGCTGTGCATCAAGTCGTCACCTGCACAGAGAATGGCTGGTTCCCTCCTCCCAGATGTATCCCTGAAAGTGAGTGTGCTTGTATTTTGTTGAGGTTTCTGTCTAAAAGCAGTAAACACATCCTCACATGACCCCTCACCACTGCTTAGTAACTCTAAGTCAAGGTGCTGTACAATGGAAAGGCAGTGCTGTGATTGTCTCACCTGTCCTCCACAGCTCTCGTGTCCCTGTGCTGCTGAGGTCGG